GTCATGAATCCCCTCCGTCACTCCAATGAGATGAAGACAAACTCAAATGCACAGAAAGAGGAACACTACTTCTGTTTCAACATGCCGTGACCTCAAACGAGTGCACAGTGAAATTACAGTGCAATATACTCCGTTATTATCAGTTACTTGCACATACACTTATTAAAAGGTGTCAAAAGTTCTGCCATCGAAAGTTCAGGACATGCTAAACTGAATTTACACACCACTCTTTTCCATACAATTAAAGTATATAGTAATTATGGATTATTTTTACCAAAAAACAAACAAAAACACAATATAGCAGCAATCACTACTCGGTGGCTCTAGATGCATTCTGGGTACATGCAGTTAAACCAGTAAATACAACAAGACTATAAGTGTATAAGTGGTGCTGTAACTGTGACCCACAATAGCCACATCCATGTGACCAAACATGCAGGACCAATCAGATCTAAGTCTGGCAATGCTCAATATTACACTCTTCCTGTAGCCTTAGCCTATTTCTTTCTCTTTTTTTACCATAATTTAATCCTTAGCCATGGCAACACTGTTCAAGAAATCAAAAATCTTCAATGCCTTGGCTTAATGTCACATTCAATCCAAAATGGCCGACTTCCTGTTGGGCTTAGCTAATGCCATTTTGACAGTTGTTTGGCTTGATAAAATCAATATATTGCTGCGTTCACACTATGTCGTAATTACCGTAATTACGAGAAAGCAACCCATTCTCTACTCTGATTTGTTCACGTTCTCTGACTCGCAATTATGGGTTTCTATGGCAACACTATCAACACCAATATGAATCTGCAGCGGTCAGGTGGTACGAGTCGAAGCTCTCAGATAATTACGGGTGTACAAGTTGTAATTATGAGATGGACAAGGACGTGAACCGTTTTAAAGTAGAGAACGTGTAATTACGGTATTTACGACATGGCGTGAACAAACCACAAATACCGACTTTGGTGACTATGGTGACTTTGGGACACTATCACATTAGTCAAAAGGTGAGTGATACAGAAGCTACAGTTTATTTTACTCTATCCTGGTGGAGACTTTCATATTCACCGAATATCCTCAAAATATCCTTCACAGAATATCCTCACAGTGTGAGCGCTCTCACATCTTTTGCATCAATAACATTTGATCTGTTTACGTCATCAGCAACTTGACACACCACATATCAGAGCAAGTGATTTTCAGCTATTTCCAATCCGTGGCTGATCGTTTAGAGCATTTCTGGAAGATACAGGTTTTTGTGCATCCATATTCCACCTCAAAGCGTAATGTAAGGGCCTGGCCGACTGTCACTATCCCCTGTGCACTTACTAAAGACCGGATCAATTCCCCTAAAGGTGCCGGAAATCAATACAAGTTCACAATCACAATTTTAGCACTTATGTCGAGACCTCGGCCACATTCAGTCTCCAGTCTGAGTATGGTGTATGGATGGCATAGACACACAACACTACATTACTGTTTCATAATTACAGTATATCATCATTATTACGGATGATGACAATTTCATGCATCACACACCACACTTTACAATTGCCAAACCAAGGCAAGGTTCAAAACATGGTAAATGCTTGTTGATACTCCATCATAAAATGCAGCAGCTGTATATATGATGATCATACTTATTCTGAAACATTCTTCAAATTATTATCTTCTGTGTTCTACAGAGGAAAGAATGTCACACACGTTTGGAACGACACTAATTGATGACAGTTTTAATTTTTTGCAGGTTGAACTATTAAGGGCACGTTTACTCTACTCTACGACATGCTCAAAACGGAGAAGTTTTTCCTTTGAGTTTACCGCGTATCAACGGCTAAAACGCTGTATTCTGCTGCCAGGCCAGTAGATGGCGATGAAACACTATAGTTAAACACGTAATACGCATGTGCATGACGTCACCGTCTTCAGAGATTCACGATTTTGTCGTTTTACACGGAGACTGTTTTCAAAAACTTGCACTTTGAAACCCGGTTTCAAAAGTTTGCGTTTTCAGGCGCCCAAAATGTCGTATAAACGAACGTCCAAAACGCATAAAAAGTTTTACGTTTTTAGTTGAAAACGGTGTCGTGTAAACAGCCCTCTAAGTCTGCAGGTCTTCCTTCTGCACTGTCAGAGAAAGACTGCAATGATCTCAGGTTTCTCCTCTAGAGGTTCAAAACTGTGCTCAGATTTATCTGCAATCAAAAGTCAGACATCTCTTACAAACTCAAACATTTCTCATCAAATTATCCCAAGAACAGGCGATCGGACCCACTGTGCTCTTCCTGTATGTCAACAACTGACTCGATGACTATTCACTTAATAATGTTGGGTTAAAAATGACCCAACGAGTAACCCAACTATGGGGTGGTATACCACCTTCCCAACAGTGGGTTATTTAACCCAACAGCCGGGTTATTACAAGAAATGTTTAAAATGACCCAACATATTTGAAAAATAACCCAACATAATGAATCAACATGCACCAATGCTACATTTTAATGCTAAATGTCATAATCATTTGTTAACAAACAAGTATTCATTACTTCAATGAGCTCATTTTTTCTGCATTAAATTATCACATTGTTTAAATTAGTACATTTTTAGCTAACTGTGTGATTTGTATATGTACATTTCTGAAATACATAACTTAGACAGTTTCCTCTGATAACAGACACTGTTATACGATAATATTCGACCCTATACAATTGAAATGAATGATAAGCGTAACCCAACGGTTGGGTAAAAGAAAACAACCCAACGTTTTTTACCGTGTAAGAAAGAAGTATCCTGAGCAATAAAAGAGCGAGCATTTCTCATTAAATTCTCCCAAAAACAAGCAATCAAACAAGCACCCACTGTACTCTTAATGTATGTCAACAACTGACTCGATGACTATTCACTTAATAATGTTGGGTTAAAAATAACCCCACGAGTAACCCAACTATGGGGTAGTATAGCACCTTCCCAACTGTGGGTTATTTAACCCAACAGCCGGGTTATTACAAGAAATTATCCAGTGATGTTTAAAATGACCCAACATTTTTGGAAAATAGCCCAACCATGTGTAACCCAATGGTTTTTTGGACGCTTTTTAAGACTTTAAGACTTTAATTGGGCAATCTTTGAAACACAAATTAAGATATTTTTAATTAAACATCAGGTAAAGCACATAAGCGCGTCAGTGCGTGTTTACTAAATGTGATGTGCTTTATGCATGCGTGCTGATCATTGTTCAGATGTAAATAATGAAGGGAAAGAAACGTCCCAGGTGTCATTAAAATATCTTAATTTGTGCTTCGAAGAACATCGAACAACATGGCGGTGAATAAATGATGACAGAATTCTCCTTTTTGGGTGAGCCGTCACTTTAAATCGCATTGCTTCACTAAAGAAAATGTTTTCTTTTCTTTTTTTCCTGCACAATTTTGTACGTAGCTCATCTGCAAAAAAGAAAAAAGGCTATATGAATGTACAACTACTTATATTAGTGGTGTGGTAGGCTACAATATATTACAAAAGCTGTTTAAAAAGCTCCAATTTCTTTGGATTGGCTTACAGTTAAATTCAGATTTCAGTTTCAGACTCTTGTGATTGTGTCGGTCGAGCTCCTGTTTATATAAAAGAGTTGTTGCAACATTATAATTCCAGCAGGAATCGTGTTTGCCGTCCCTCGCTCTCCCTTTGGATGTATCTGGGGACACTTTTAATAAGAAGCTTAAAGAAAACACACTTGCTTAAACTTGCTCATTCTTATCTCTTACTGTCACTCTTATTTTCATTACCTTTTTATTAGTGCAAGGCAATGATTAGCTAATCGCGATTAATCACATCCAAAATAAAAGTTTGTGTTTACAGAATATATCTGTGTGTACTGTGTATAAATATTTTGTACATAAATACACACACACACATATTTGCATGTATACTGTATTTACATAATTTACATTATATATCAATATTTTATATATGAATAACACAATTTTTTCTTAAATATATACATGCATGTGTGTTTTTATATATACAAAATAATTATACACCGCACACACACACATATTATGTAAACACAAACTTTTATTTTGGATGCGATTAATCGTTACTTTAAGTTTTTATATTCGGATGTAAAGCACTTTTTGCTCTGGAAAGGTGCTATAGAAATGAAAATGACTTACCTACTCATCGGCAAACGTAAGAATTACACACAAACAACTGTTAAAACGGGTAAATAACCAGTCACCCTGGCCTTGAGTCTGTGTTTACAATGCAAAACACACATTTGCTATTTTTAGAGAGCGAGAATTATAATCCTGGATGATTTATCCAACACAACTGAGTGTGTGAACACATTTTTTCGAAGGTCTACCCCTTTCACTTTTAGTTTGTTAATCTGCTTGTTGTTTTGAAAAGTAGGATATTATGGAAGAAACTTCTTTGTCAATGCTGTTTTGGATAATAATGGACGGCTGAGAGCGAGTTACACACAATGTTACTGTAACAATCACTGTGGTTTCTATGGTATTTTAGTCAGTCCATAATCTGACCGCCTGAAATCCTGAATATGATTCACTTAGAGCCAAAAATGATATTATGAAATCACTAATAAAGTACCATAGCCTACGATATGCTACCATGTTGATAAAACATATTCAGGAGATTTAACATGCTAATACAACGTTTCTGCTCACATAACATGGTAATTACAAGGTATTAGGACACGTACCTCCTATTCTTTGAAGTATCATGCTTTATGAATATGGAAATTATGCCATATACCACGGTCTTACCTCTTTGCACTCTCTGTAACTCATTTAACAGCTGCCAGTCAGTTTCCGAAGCGTATTAATCGCACGCGACGCGTCAACAGATGATGACACTCGCAGGTCATCAGTGAAGATTCGCGGTTGCTATGATACTCGACTGTCTCGAGACAGAGATGCGGCTTAGCAACGACACACAGATGATGATGATGATGATGATGATGGGCGTGATTGGCGCGATCTTACCATTACACTTCTTCATTATCCTGCCGAAACTACACGCAGAATCTCATCCAACGCGTTGTATATTCGGACGCGCTTCCACAATCGATCCCGCCCGTCGCTGCGATCATGTCTGAGTTTATAATGTTTATAATCCAGTGACAGCAGCACATCACAGGGAAGCGGAGCGCAAATAAAGCTCACAGACCCCCAGGCGAGAGCAATCGGACGATGATCCGCGGGAGATCAAGATACACGTCTACGTTCACACACTCTGTGATAGATTAAAATGTCTGCTGGAAGGGCGTATGTTTGTTTTGGTGAGACTGGACGAACCAAAGGGCAGATGCGCCCCCTGCTGGATGTGTTGTTATTATATTATATTATATTATATTATATTATATTATATTATATTATATTATATTATATTATATTATATTATATTATATTATATTATATTATATTATTAGAGAATCTGTAAACACTCTAATTCCCATCATGTACAGTCTCTTCGTCGCCTTTTAACTCTCTCACATGTCTCCTTATTTGAACAGGAACATGTTAAACTTTCTCAAAAGCATAAGGATGGTATGATTTAGCTTAATCACGAATTAAACCAACTCTGCCCCCTTGATATCCACATTTCATAGCATCTAAATAAACTTCTTCAACACAGGGGCTGGATACTTATGACATGCAATCTTTGGAGAACTGAGATTTATGATTTATTAAAACTCGCTGAACACATCACAACAGATAGGCTATATCTATTACCTCACAGTTTAAAATGATAAGACTAAGATATATGAGATGAGTTGTTGATATATTCAGCAGTTATCGAGGTGAAGAAGAATAAAGCAGTGTGAAATAAAGCAGCTCCATCTAGTGATCGCTGATGATAACACAATATGAGCTTTTTACAGGCTATGAATATGAGTATATGAGCTGTAAGGAATTAATGAACTAAAACTAAACTAACAATAAAAGGAGTTAATATAATGTGTAAATAATACTTTATTTCGCTAAACTCAAACAGGTACAGACTCAAACGGAGCATTTCAGAGCATGTTTTATTAATATTATTTAATTATTACAACTTTTGTTTGTCAAAATAGCAATGTGATATATTTTTCTCAATCATTTTGTGTTCGTTCTGGTTAAATTTAGCTGAAAGCCATTGGTTTATAAGCTAAACATTTTACAGTTTTTTACAATCACTTTGCTACTATTTTCAGAACCTTGATGTCAGACACAAAACTCAAAACGGTTCTCACTTGTAACACAGGCTGTCTAATGTTCAAAACATTGCATTGTGCATTCACATCTTTAAAGAAATCTTGCACTTGCACAATCATTGGTTCAAAAAACAAATTTACTGTGAAACACCATTGAAACATAACTATAGCTCACCCACACACACGCAACCGATAGTTTCACTGTGTCATTGTGCGTACAATCATTAAATATTGTAGAACAAAATAGGTGATCCAGGTTTCATTATGGTCTACATGTACAGTAAATACATCTCTGTGAAAGCACTGCAGTCGTAGAGAATACACACATAATGGAATCATTGAACAAAGTGTGTAATATATTGATGCAAAACACTACAGTGCAATCACAACACAGGTTTATTGGAATCAAAGCAAAAATATAAAATATTAGGCTACATCCATGGATATTGTAGTCTAATTGGCTCCATGCTCCACGCTAATTGGTGACAATGAATCTCGTTATCTTGAAACTTTCATGATTTACAGTAAACATGGAAGATTGTGTGTCTGTTTCCATACAACTATGCATTAAGACTAAGAGTAATACAACAGTTACTTATCATTTTGAGCAGTTGTATCAGTTGATAGTTAGATCATTGTAAGGAAATGAATAGACGCTCATTTGAAATGTAATGTGTGAATTGCCTTTTGAAATAGTAGTACTGTGAAGTTGTGTCATATTGAACAGGTGATTTTTGTTAACAAATGATCTAAGTTTTATGTGTATTGTATCCAAGCAATTGAGAAAAGGGTTAGAGTTTTGAAAAATGTGCATTTTGATCATTGGTTGTGAGTTTTGTGTCTAGAGTTGTGAAAAATGACATCAAGGTTCTGAAAATAGTAACAAAATGATTGTAAAAAACTGTAAATAGGCACAGATGGGCTTTCTTTACGATTCTTACTTGCTTTTTATAGTATTTCATATTTCAATTAGCCTGTCCTGTCTACATCCCGTGTGTTTAGAGTGTAGCCTATTTCATATTTCACTGTGATGAAATCAACTCATGTGACTTGAACTGAGAACTGAGAGAGCAGAAACCTGTGTGTGTGTGTGTGTGTGTGTGTGTGTGTGTGAGAGAGAGAGAGAGAGAGAGAGAGAGAGAGAGAGAGAGAGAGAGAGAGAGAGAGAGAGAGAGAGAGAGAGAGAGAGAGAGAGAGAGAGAGAGAGAGAGTGTGTGTGAGTGAGTGTGTCTGGGTGTGTTAGTGAGTGAGAGAGAGAGAGAGAGAGAGAGAGAGTGTGTGTGTGTGTGTGTGTGTGTGTGTGTGTGTGTGTGTGTGTGTTGTCCTGCTTCCAGCAGCTCAGTGTCTCTCAGAAGACATTTATCCGTGATCGAGATCAAAGTCTCCGAGACTCCCGCTGAAAGCATGAACTGTGATCATAATAAACTCACACTTTAGTCACAAACTCCTCAGTGAACTAATAACTCGACAGTAGACACACACCTCTATTAAACACCTCATGTCATGTGTATGGCCCTGTTTTCATGACGTCATGAGGAATCTGACCAAGAAATGTTCATTGTTCAGTCATGTGACACAATTACAATGTAAATAAAGAACATTTATATATTTTTAGCACCATTTAGATTTTTAATTGTCTTTGTACGACGGCATTTTTATGACACTGTTTTGACTTTCTTTACAATACGGTTCAATTAGTTAACATTATGAAGTAAGAATGAACAAGCATTAATTAATCTAAGACTAGTTAATATTAATTTCAGCATTTACTAATATATTATTAAAATCAAAGGTTGTGTTTGTTAGCATTAGTTAATGCACTGTGAACTTACATGAACAAACAATGAACAGCTGGATTTTTATTAACTAACGTTAACAAAGATTAACTAATTCAGTAACAAATGTATTGCTCATTGTTAGTTAAGAATGCTTTGGAATATAGAGGTGAGATTGGTCTTGTTTTAAAGAAGACATTTGGCAGATTTTTGTAGAAGTGAAATAAATTAAGAAAGTAAAACAAAAAAAAATGAAAATGTACAATGTAAAAATGTAATTATTCATATTTTATATAGAATATAAATTTTCAAAACATGTTGGACTCTAAAACTGCAAGAAAATCAAAGCCAAAAATCTGAACAAGTTGTGTTTCAAATTTGTAGGTTGTAATCTCAAAAGATGAGCTTTCAGTGAGAGTGTGTGTGGGCGCAGTGCCACAGGCTTCCACTAGAGGACAACCAGACTCCACTACTGACCGCGCAAGGGTGCCGCGGCCTGCCGCCATTTCCATTTGTGTTTTGGGCTTGAGTGATCTGAACCATTATATTTCCACTATTTTCATACAACTTATGAAGAAAACATCCTATTCAGAAGTAGTATGGGAAGTTTGGCAGATTTAGATATGAATTCAACACACATAAGAAGAACACGGATGTGCTTTATAGCTCGCTGCCACATCACAAATGGTGAATCTATTATTTTCTTCTTTATATTCAAAACATTTTCAGACCTTTTAAAAAAAAAAAGAGAGAAAAAAAAAGAATGGATGCTATCTTTTGAACTCTTGGCATGAAAACAAACTGAGGTTTCTACCCTTCTTTCATGATTTTTCATGTTCATCGCTATTTCAAAATAAAGGTCTGAACACGCCTTAGTAGTATGAACATAATCTTGTTGCAAATTGATAGATTACGAATCCGCTGTAATAAAAAAAAAAAAAATCATAATTGTGAAAATAGATTGCAAGCTTTCAAATGATATATAGTTTGTCAAGATTGACCGGCGGTGTGCCGGTGACACTTAAGGGGAAGGGTTATGGTATACAGTAATGAAAAAGAACAACAATGTTTTTTTTGTTTTTTTGTTTTATCAGAATATATACATAGAACAAATAATACCATGACATAAGTACTTATACGAATGAGAAAGTATACAAAAAGTAAATAATTAAAATACTTGCGTGCGTGTGTGTGTTATAATAGTAATAAGAATTGGCAGGTAAATGTGTCATGAAAATAATTTCACAATGCAAACAATGGTAGGGGTCGTAATAAGAAAAAAATATTTCTGTAACACTTTATTTTACAGTTTCCTTGTTATATATGTACATGCACACTGTTAGCAATTGATGTAATTTTTACAATAAATTTTTCAACAACATATTGTATTCATGTTTTTATTGTAAATGCAAATGCATGATGGGAAATGTATGGACAGTCCTGTAATTTTATTGTAACTACACTGTAGAAGCATTATTTTACAGCCAGCGCTAGCATTGTGGGATCGCTGCTGTTTAAATTTTGAAATAAACAGAATCAAACATTTTTGGAAGAAGGAACACATCTCAGGTATGAAACGTTAACATGAAATCTATTTTATAAGTCTATGGATGTATAATCCGTCATTTATTTAACAGATATGAAAACTTTTAACCTTTTTTTCCTCTCCCTCTCTCTCGGTTTTCAGAGCTTTTTGTGGAATCAACTCCCAGACGGGCAGCAAAGCAGAGAAGAGACACGGGCTCAACGCACCTGTTTACACCCTCCTTAGAAAACTCCTGGACTTTGAGTTGATGGGCTAGTACCATGAACAGCCTCCCCAGTTCAAGTCTGGCTGGACACCTTTGCTCCATATCACCATGTTCCCCCTGATGATCTGCTGTCTGGACGTCTGGAAGTGAGCTTCTTCAGTGAAATTTTATATTTGTTTGTGTAAGGGAAAAAAAAGTGGATACTTTTGTAATATGTGGTGTTGCACAGTTTGTTAATAAAACAAAAAAGATACCATTGTTGTGTTTTTAATTGGCTAATACGGAAAATTACAGCATTTTATTGTAATATTCACAAATAACAGGATGTATACAGTATATTGAATTACAATATAAAATTATAATTCTGTCCTGTGAAATTATAGGAAATTCCTGGCAACTTAGTTGCAGTAAATATACAGTAAATTGTAATAAATTACAGCATTTTACTGTAATAATGCTACT